CCAAGCCAGGCCCGGCTATTTTTTGATGCAGTTTGGCCAAGGTGGGGTTTGAACCCGACATCCTCGGTATAGGGGGCCGGTGCCCTACTCACTGAGCCATAGGCACCACCCTAGCCATTCTCTTTGATAAGTAAATTGTTACCAAGTTTTCATTTCTATAAATATTTCCTTAGTAGGGGAGTAGGTGTCTTTATTCATTCCTTTTATATGTATATGATTTCTTTAAGATAAAAAGCAAAAAACAGAATTGCTGAGTATTGAGGTATATATATTTAATATATATTTTTTAAGAGTATATTTTAATATATATTCTGACTTAAATAGTTACATTATAGGATTTGTACTAGCTAATACTCCTACTTGCATTGCATATTATTCCTCACATGCACAATACCATTGATACTATTGAACAGTAATCTTTTTTTTTTTTTTTTGGAGACAGAGTATCACTTTTTGTCACCCTTGGTAGAGTGCCAGGGTGTCATAGCTCATAATAATCTCAAACTCTTGGGCTTAAGCAATCCTCTTGCCTCACCTGCCACAAGGCCCAGCTAGTATTTCTATTTTTAGTAGAGATGGGGGTCTCACTCTTGCTCAGGCTGATCTTGAACTTCTGAGCTCAAGCAGTCCACTTGCTTGGGTTTCCCAGAATGTTCAGGATTACAGGCAGGAGCCACTGTGCCCAGCAAACAGCCATCTTTCAAGGGAAAAATGACACTTAGATTACTAGTGAGGTTCATCATCATTACACATTTGTCATGTATATGATTTCTTTGTGGATGAATTTTCCTGTTCCTGCTGCCTTTCCAGTTTGCATCTAATGAGTTCTATGAGGGCTTTGTTTGTTTTGTGTTGTTTATTTGCATTCTAGGTTCTGATAATTTCTTATACATGCTGCAAATATATCTCCCAGTTAGATTCTTGTTTTATAAGTTTTATGGTCTAGAAGACTTTAATTTTGAAGAATAAAATATACCCTGTCTTTGTAGCTTTTGCTTTTTAATGTCTTATTAAAGAAGACTTTTCTGGCTCAGCACCCTTAGCTCGGTGTTTAGCGCGCCAGCCACATAACACCAGGGCTGGTGAGTTTGAACCAGGCCAGGCCTGCCTAAAGCAATGACAACTACAACAAAAAAATAGCTGGGCGTTGTTGCAGGCTTCTTTAGTCCCAGCTACTTGAGAGGCTGAGGCCCAAGAGTTTGAGGTTGCTCTGAGCTGTGACACTATGGTACTCTACCGAGGGCAACGAGTGAGACTTTGAGACTGTCTCAAAAAAAAAAAAA